GTGATGAACATCCAAGCCGCCGAGTAGCCGACGCGAGCGAAGAAGGACACGGTGAACATGAACCGCCAGCCTTCGCTCAGGGGGCGTCCCAGAGGGTAGGTGCCCAGCATCCACACGCAGGTCCACAGGGCGAGCACGAAGGCGTTGTGCTTGATGCGGCGTGGAACCCACTTGCTCCAGAACCTAAGGTCTTTCGGAAGTTCAGCAGAGAGCAGTACGAGTGGCACAATGGAGCCTTGCCCCAGATCCAAACCACAAACCCCTAGACCCAGAAGTCTTTACTTTAAGTCCGGATTCAAGGCTTCGGGTTATCACAGGGTCTCGGGTTACGAACGGCACACCTGTAGCCCTTAGCCCGAAATCGCCAACCTTAGATCCAAAAGCTCGAAAAATCGAACTAAACCCTGAACCCTAAACCGTAACCGTATATCCTTCATGGGAGCTTCAACAATCAAACTGGGACTTGAGCGGTATACCAAAGTATAGTCGCACAAGGGCTCTGGTACTTTTCACTCCGATCAGATTAGACCCTGTACTTTATGGCTAAACCCTCAACCCTAAACCTCAGAAGAGCATTTGATGCCTAATCCTTAAACCCTGAACCCTAAAAGGTTTATAAGGAAGGGTCGATGCTGGAGGGGGCTGGAATAGGTCGTAGACGCGACTCAGAGTGGTGTACCTACGGAAAAGACTACGGTGGAGGATCTAAATCCTTCCATTACTACCCATAAAAAGGGAAAAAAAAACATAATTCCCATGGATTTAGGGTCCTTAAGGTCATGCAGGATTTAGATCATCAGCAGTAGAGATCATCCTTCGCTTCCACTTATCTGCTACCTTAGTAGTTCGGTTTTTGTGTTGTTACGGTTGGCTGGGGGTGAAGGGTCATGTGGTTTCAGGGGTCAGGACCTGCTACTGTATAGACTTCCGGGCAGGCCCCGAAACTAAACTAAGATCAATCGCTTGGAGCAGAGGCAGAGGCGCTACGCAGACAGCGAGTCGTGGCTGAAACAGCCACATGTGCAGTCAGGGAGGTACAGTCGTAATAGTAGGTAGTACAGTACGTTCGTAGACATAGAGACATAGCCCTCGTCTTGATCATTCTGAGATTCACAGCAGCAATGTGGCAGAGATCCGCAGCAAGAAATCAACATGCTTGCAAGCTGGAAGACTACGCTTCCAATCAATCAAAGATCGATGCTATTGATCTCAGTAGCTCCTTGTTGCACTTGCCACCTGCGCCCTGGTCGGGGAAGTGCATCCACCACTCCAAGGCGAAGAGCGAGCCGGTATCGTTCAGGCCAAAGAAATGGATCACCTAGGTTCCCCAGTAACCCCTTAATGATAAGGGTACCCTTTTTCTTAATACTCGGTTTTAATAAGGGGACCCCAAACTAAAAAGGGCAAAAGGGTACTACTGGGGCACCTAGTCACAGGGATGAAGGGCACGGTGAGCAGGTACTTGTACCAGTTCGAGCCCCATGGTCCAGCCCACTGCTGCAGGGCGTAGTGGAACTCCTCGGGGTCCCAGCCGAACTCACCCTGGATCAGCAGGTCGACGGTCGAGGCATGATGCCTGGATTGCCCCCAATTGTTCAGGATTTCGACCAACGACACTTATGTTCAACACTGCAAAACACGTGAACGGAACAAAGATGCAGGCTGAATCGGGTGCAAAAAAATCATTGGGGTCTGGGTCTAGATTCAGATGCAGTGCCTGTTGTGCTCCAGGACA